TTTTTAGTAGAGGTGAGGTTTCACCATGTTGGCCAGGCTGGTTTCAAACTCCTGACTTCATGTGATCCACCCACCTCAATCTCCCAAAGTACTGGGATTACAGGCGTGAGCTGCTGCACCTGGCCTGTTTATAACTCCTAACCTAATTCTTTCTTGAATAGTGTCTAATCTTCCGTTTAACCCATCCATTATGCTTTTTATTCTTTTTTTTCCCTTTTTTTTTTTTTTTTTTTTTGGTGAGACGGAGTCTTGCTCTGTCGCCCAGGCTGGAGTTCAGTGACGCGATCTCCGCTCACTGCAAGCTCCGCCTCCTGGGTTCACGCCATTCTCCTACCTCAGCCTCCTGAATAGCTGGGACTACAGGCGCCTGACATCACGCTCAGCTATATTTTCTATTTTTAGTAGAGACGTGGTTTCACCATGTTAGCCAGGATGATCTCCATCTCCTGACCTTGTGATATGCCCGCCTTGGCCTCCCAAAGTGGTGGGATTACAGGCGTGAGCTACCGCGCCTGGCCACTTTTTCTTTTTTAAAGTATATTTTCTATCTATTTGGTTTTTCTTCAAATCATTCCCAAATGCATGTTTCTGATTCCATATTTCCGTTAAACATATTTATTTGATAATTCTAATATTTGATGTCCTCAGGGAACTAACTGTTGTTTCTGCTGACTCTCACTCCTGGTAGTTTGTATCCTTGTTTGTTTGGTAATTTTTGATTGTGAGCTCATGGGAGTGGATCTTAATCTCTGGATACACGAGTGGCCAAAATTAGGGATGCTTCCCTCAAAGATAAATTTGCATTTGCTTGCCAGGAGTCAGGGAGCATTACAGACTTAGGACAACTTTAGCCGCTTTGAGGGTCCAAGCATGATGATGGAAGTCTCAAATTCAGCTTTTCCATCTTTCTACTATATTATAATTTAGTCTCAGAATTGATTGCTATACCAATATCAGCACTGGGCCCCAGGACAATCTAGCCTTTTGTGCTTTCTTGTTGCTCCATGCTCCCACATGTGGTTTCAAATCATCTTTCATGGCAAGTGAAGATGCAGCTGGAAGATTCACGTTACTGTGAGGCTGGTAAATGCATTAACATTCTACATCCTCTAAAATCTAGCTGTTTGTTAACGGGAAGGCCCTCCAGAATGTCTAGTCTAGCATATTATCAGAATAGAGGTTTGGGGCCGGGTGGCTCACGCCTGTAATCCCAGGCGTGAAGGGATTGGAAGGCCAAGGTGGATGGATCATGAGGTCAGGAGTTCAAGACCAGCCTGAACAACATGGTGAAACCACGTCTCTACTAAAAATACAAAAATTAGCTCGTTGTGGTGGCGCGTGCCTATAATCCTAGCTATTCAGGAGGCTGAGGCAGGAGAATTGCTTGAACCCCGGGAGGCGGAGGTTGCAGTGAGCTGAGATTGCACCACCACACTCCAGCCTGGGCAACAGAACAAGACTCTGTCTCAAAAAAAAAAGAAGTTTAATTCAGGGTTGTTGTTAGTTTTCCAAATTGAAAATAGCTTGCTAAAAGGGAGAAATAAGACTTTTTTGAGCAAATAATAGATATTTTATTTTTATCTCTATTCTTCCTTCTTAGTAAAAATGGAGAACTGAAATCCTAAGGAAGCAAATAAAATGAAAAGTGATCTGTATGTAACTTGCTGTGTTAAGAAATTGTAAATTTTTTTTTTTTTTTTTTTTTGATGGAGTCCACTCTGTCACCTAAGCTGGAGTGCAGTGGCACGATCTCGGCTCACTGCAACCTCTGCCTCCCGGGTTCATGCAGTTCTTGTGCCTCAGACTCCTGAGTAGTTGGGATTACAGGCATGCACCACCACACCCGGCTAATTTTTGTATTTTTATTTTTATTTTTTTTGGAGACGGAGTCTCACTCTGCCACCCAGGCTGGAGTGCAGTGGCGCAATCTTGGCTCACTGCAAGCTCTGCCTCCCAGGTTCACTCCATTCTCCTGCCTCAGCCTCCTGAGTAGCTGGGACTACAGGCGCCCACCACAACGCCCGGCTAATTTTTTGTATTTTTAGTAGAGACGGGGTTTCACCGTGTTAGCCAGAATGGTCTCAATCTCCTGACCTCGTGATCCACCTGCCTTGGCCTCCCAAAGTGTTGGGATTACAGGCATGAGCCACTGCGCCTGGCCCCATTTCATAACTACATACTCTGTGAGGCCAAATTTTTCTTCACATACTTTAGCCAAAACAACATATCACAACAGATTGAGTACAGAAAGAGACATAAGAATGTAAGTGTCTTCTTTATTATTATGTCAGACATTAAAGGAACTTAGAAAAATGTAAAATATTGCTGTTTTTCTCAGTAAATTACTTGTTTTGGAATATAGTTTTTCTCTATGAAAAATGTGATTTGTGTTAACATGTAATAGTTTATTATTATCATTTTTGAGACGGAGTTTCACTCTTGTTGCCCAGGCTGCAGTGCAATGGCGCAATCTCAGCTGATCGCAACCTCCGCCTCCTCAGTTTAAGCAATTCTCCTGCCTCAGCCTCCCAAGTATCTGGGATTACAGGCGTGCGCCACCATGCCCGACTAGTTTTTGTATTTTTAGTAGAGACAGGGTTTCTCCATTTTGGTCAGGCTTGTCTCGAACTCCTGACCTCAAGTGATCCGCGCCCACCTTGGCCTCCCAAAGTGCTGGGATTACAGGTGTGAGCCACTGCACCGGGCTGATAGTTTATTATTTTAAAATATTTAAAATTTTTCTCAGTTTTAATATCTTATATGAGAAATATTCATTGATATAATCGACATAAACAAAGTTCTTTGGTAGGTAAAGGTGTCCTGAAACCAAAAAGCTTAAAAATTGCTGCTATAAATATCTCATAGTTTAAACATAAATATCAACTGAAATGTTAAAAAGGAAAAAGTAATTTTTTCAATTTTTGTGTGCACATAATCTGTTTAAGGAGTAAAACATAGTTTTAAGAAAAACTGGAATAAGGATCTATAAATGGAGCAATGGAGGAGGGTAACTTGCTGGTTTCTGCTCCAATGTCAATGTAAAATAAAAGAAAATTAAAAGACCATATAATCAGGCCCTAAAAATCCTTTTACAACCATGAAATCAAAATAGCATATCTTCACCCTTCAAAGCGGAAAAAGAAAAGCAAAGGAGAACAGTGAATGACTTCCTGTCATCTTTTCCATGCTTCCAAACTGAAAGCAGATACAGACACACAGTCATGTAATCTGATAGGCAGATATGTCAGCCTGACTGCAACAGAATCTTAATTTTTATCCAACTACAGGCACTACTAAATATGCCTCTTACTTTAGTTCTCTTAAGCAGACGGTGGACACTCTAAAAATCCGGACTTACCCTACAGTTAATAGATTTCAAAGTAATCAATCACTAATCATGACTGCATTTAACCAGAAAATGTAGAATAACTCACCTGTAAATCATATGGCTTTCCAGCCCTCACTAAAAAACTCAGTAATATACTGGTATGTGCAAAATGGACATTCTCATCCAGGAACCCATGTAAGAGCAGTAAACGATTTGGTCTGGAGAAATGGAAATATTACAGGATTAGGCAAAATAGTACAGTATTTGGGAAAACAATTTCACTTATTTAATCATACTTAACCATATTAACTTCCTGATACTGCAATGTTAGAATAAGAATTCAATATTTTCAATATTAAATTTGTAACATATTAACCACATACCACATGTAATGAAAGATTAAAAAAAGATCTTGTGTTCAATTATTTATAATTAAAATATTAAAACACATCTATAATTATAGCATGTCCCCAGAAAAATTATGTGTAAAATATATTCAGGCAGACATAAAATTTTTTCCACCTTGAAAGTCGTGTACTTAACTTTTTTCAGCAAAAACAACTGCTTCAAATATAACTTGTAAAAAAACATTATATGAACTGGCCTGTAATTCAGTTTTAAGAAACAGCCATGATATTCTAGTATAACATATTCATCTTGGTTTTTCAGTATTTGAATTTTCCATTAGGATTAAAGACAATTTTTTAAAATACAATTGAAAATTTATAATCTTCATTTTAAAGCTTGAATTAGGCTGTGCCCGGTGGCTCACGCCTGTAAACCCAGCACTTTGGGAGTCTGAGGTGGGCAGATAACTTGAGTCCAGGAGTTTGAGACCACCTTAGGCAACATGGTAAAATCCTGCCTGACTCTACTAAAAATACAAAAAATTAGGTGGGCATGGTGGCACGTGCCTGTAGACTCAGCTACTCGGGGGCTGAGGTGGGAGGATCCTCTGGCCCAGGAGTTTGACGATGCAGGGAGCCCTGATCATGCCACTGCACTCCAGCCTAAGTGACAGAGTGAGACTCTGTCTCAATTAAAAAAAAAAAAAAAAAAAAAGCTTGCACTTACTCAGAGGGGAACTTTTCTGCTTGCATGGCCACAGATCCTAAGTAATAGCCCTGTTCATTCTGGTCAGGGTGACCCATATAACGTTCCGTGTATCCTGTATCATAGAAGATCCACAGAGTGACTGGGGCCCCAGCAATAGCAACCTGCATAAGATGACATTGACAGTCAAGTGTGGTCTGGAAAAAGAGAGTGGCTAGCAGTGAGATCTTACAACTGCAAAATTACACTGTAAAATTATCCTTAAGCTTTAGCCTTACGACTGGGGCATACATGTCTTAGGCAACTCAGAATACTGAAGTGAAGTGCCAAGGTCAAGAATTTGATACTCTGTGAGTCAGTTTCATGTTCCATAGGCATTCTACATACCAAACCTTTAACCTGGGCTAGCTGAAATACAAAAGCCGGGCCCATTGTTAAAAGACAACTGAACTACATCCTGCTACTGAGGAAAAAATGTGCGAGAACTGTCAGTTTTATGTAAAAAAGGAGCCACCTTTTTTTTTTAAGCCTCTGTTGGCAGTACAGAATTTAAAACAATAAATGAAATATACTAAAAATTTGCCTCATTTTAAGGCTCTTATACATAGTTTTATATTTAAATACTCTATTTGCTTGACAGCTACAAGCCTGGGAAAATTATGGGAGTAGTCAGAATTTATTTATGGTTATTATAAAGATCATCTAGACATATATGCAAGAATAAAAGCCTTATTTTGTTCTTAAAAATAAAAATTAAGGGTCAGGTGCAATGGCTCACGCCTGTAATCCTAGCACTTTGGGAGGCTGAGGCGGGTGGATCACCCAAGGTCAGGAGTCCGAGACCAGACTGGCAAACATGGTGAAATCCTATCTCTACTAAAAATACAAAAATTAGCTGGGAATAGTGGTGGGCGCCTTTAATTCCAGACTGAAGCATGAGAATTGCTTGAACCTGAGAGGTGGAGGTTGCAGTGAGCCGAGATCGCACCACTGCACTCCAGCCTGGGTGACAGCAAGACTCTGTCTCAAAAATAGAATTAAAAAATAAAAATTTAAAAAATTACTTTTCACTGTAAAGTAACATCATGTTATTGAAATATTAAAAAAAGAAACATACTCATAATTCCTATTCTCAACAATTATCATCCTTATGTATTTTCTTCTAGTATATTTTTCCAAGAGTTTGTTTACAGAATTGTAAGCATTTATACATTTAATAATTCACTCATTCAATGCACTTATTGAGGGCCTACTATGTGCCAAGCATTAGGCTTGACTGCTGAGGATACAGTGGTGTACAGCACAAACAGGTCCCTGCCCTCATAGCTTGCAGTCCAACAATTAAGTAATTACAATCCAATAGGTATGTTGTATGTGCCTTACTAATCGTAACCATCTCCTATACTCTTTGGCACGTATCTATAAACAGTCAGTAACTAGTTATCCAGTTGATGTTTAAACATTATATATGTTTAAAAGAAAAATACACACACACACACATATATACATATAAAACTTGAAGGCTGGGAGCAGTGGTTCACGCCTGTAATCCCAGCACTTTGGGAGGCCAAGGCGGACGGATCACTTAAGGTCAGGAGTTCAAGACCAGCCTAGCAAACATGGTGAAACTCCATCTCTACTAAAAGTACAAAAATTAGCTGGAAATCGTTTGAACCCGGGAGGTGGAGGCTGCAGTGAGCTAAGATCATGTCACTGTGCTCCAGTCTGGGTGAAGAGCGAGACTGTGTCTCAAAACAAAACAAAACAAAACAAACAAAAAAACAAACGAGATATATATACATTTCACATGGCTCTTAAACATACAAACCCTAACATTCTATAATATTGCCAACTGTGGGCCAGGCGCAGTGGCTCATGCCTGTAATCCTAGCACTTTGGGAGACCAACACGGGTGGATCTCTTGAGGTCAGGAGTTTGAGACCAGCCTAGCCAATATGGTGAAATCCCATCTCTACTTTAAAAAAAAAAAAAAAAAATTAGCCAGGTGTGGTGGCCGGCACTTGTAATCCCAGCTATTCAGGAGGCTGAGACATGAGAATCGCCTGAACCCAGGGGGCAGAGGTTGCAGTGAGCCAAGATTGTGCCACTGCACTCCAGCCTGGGCGACAGAGCAAGACTTTGTCTCAAAAAAACAAAAACAAAAACCCAAAAAAAATTGCCAACTCTGTAAACCTTCAGGAAATAGACATTTTTATATATCCTCTATTTACAGAAAAATCTACCCTTATTGCAAAAATGAGTATAATAGGAAGTCACATACCCTGAAGATATCTGACCTCTGCATTAATGCCATCAGGGAGAGGTATCCTCCATAGGACCAGCCGTGGATGCCCACACGATCTAAGTCAATGAAATCATATCGAGAAGCTAGATATTGGAGTCCTTCCACCTGATCATCAATTTCTATTTGACCCTGTCAAAAAAGGGAGAACATTTCACTGATTCTGATGAATAAAAGTCTCATAAGAGTGCTTTTAAAGATGATAAATGTTTTTACTAAAAATACCTGTAGGTCTTTTAATTTTTATTTTATTTATTTTTTGAGATGGAGTCTCACTCTGTTACCCAGGCTGGAGTGCAATGGCATAATCTTGGCTCACTGCAACCTTCGCCTCCTGGATTCAAGCGATTCTCCTGCCTCAGCCTCCCGAGTGGCTGGAATTACAGGCATGCGCCACCATGCCCAGCTAATTTTTGTATTTTTTAGTAGAGACGGAGTTTCACTATGGCCAGGTTGGTCTCAAACTCCTGACCTCTCAAGTGATTCGCCCGCCTCGGCCTCCCAAATTGCTGGGATTACAGGTGTGAGCCACCACACCCGGCCCTGTAGGTTTTTTTAGATTAGAATTTACTACCAACTGAGATTCTGTTGCCCCCTCTCCCTCAAATTTTTAAAAAATCTATTTGGAGATAGGGGCCTATAGCTTCTGTTGCTAGCCTGTCCTAGAGTTTAGTTACCACTTAGTCATAAAGCTCCTTCCTATTGCTACTCAAACTGTCCCTTGCTATTTGGGTATTTCCCATTTCCATTTGTTCTGTTGTCTGCTAAGAGGTCAGCATCTTCCTTGTAACAAGCCTTCCTATACCCAAAGACAAAAAATTAGCCCCTTAAGTAATTAATTTTACTTCTCCTTTTTATTTTTTTGGAGACATGGTTTCACTCTGCTGTCCAGGCTGGAGTGCAGTAGTGTGACCATGGATCTGTAGCTCAATCTCCCAGGCTCAAGTGATCCTCCCACCTCAGCCTCCCAAGTAGCTGGGACTCCAGGCGTGCGCCACCATGCCCAGCTAATTTTTTAACTTATTTGTAGAGGTGGAGGGTCTCATTATGTTGCACAGGTTGGTCTTGAACTCCTGGGCTCAAGTGATCCTCCTGCCTTGGCCTCCCAAAGTGCTGGGATTACAGGCGTGAGCCAATGCACCTGGCCTACTTCTCCTTTTTAATTTTTAGTGCAGTAAAGCAGAAGGAATTGCTCTTGAGGCCCTATCTTCTTATTTCCCTATTATATTACCTCTAGGAACTGAACATACTACTTCTTTAAGGTCCTAGTTCCTACCACCACCACCTTGTCTATATTACTAGGCCTGCCAGTGCACGCAATCTCACTTCACTGAGCCAAAAACAAAAATAAAAACAAAAAAACTTACATGAGAATACAACATAAGGTCAAAGAACTGGCTGTGGGAGAAAATCCCCATGTCTTACTCAGCATGTCCAATAACACTGGCAAACACAGTAACTGCCTTACTGTGCAAAAGGAACATCGGATTCTCATCATTTCCCAAAGCAGCAGAAAGGACATGGGGCATCTCTAAAAGGTAGCATTTAAAGCTTCCTGTAGAGAGAAAGAGGCTTGTCACAAGGAAGGCACTAACCAGTTGGATTCCCTCTTCACAGAGGACAGAACAAATCTCAATAATTCCTCAACAGTGTCCAGGATGCTGAAAGCTAAATGGTGCTAAATTCTACCCAAGTGGACATACAAAATAGAGAGGGTATTTCTATGTACAAGTGGCTCTATCGCAGTTCTCCAAAGTTACATATAGGTAGACATGAGCTAGCCTAGTGTACATCAAGTTGCATCTTCTCTCCCACCCCTAAACTCTAACACATATACACGCTCATTCACTCATTCATAGCCCCTTCCCCCAACTCTCTTTCAAGGGTTTCACACCAAACAATGCACCAGAAAAATGTAAATGTCTGTAAAAGAAAAGTGTTTTTATGCTCACACACCATTTTATATTTAAAGGCGCCTTCAAATTTAAGCCCTCGGTGACAGGATCCCCTGTTGTCTATCACCACAACCACATAACCTAGAGAGGCTAGGGTATTCAAGCGGAAATACTTGACTCCTTTAAACCGATTATTCACCAACTGCACCTGAGGAAGAAACACAACTTCAGTTTATCATATGGAAGCATATAAAAACCCAAGAGTGGCAGGGCATTGCAAGAAATAGAAAGCTTAATTTCACTATTATTTTACCTTTAAAATGCAATTTTTAAAGTCATTTATTTATATATTAACTTAAGTCTTTTCATGTTTATGTTGCTTCCTGCTTAACTTCACACTCAAGTTCAGGGCAATTACTGAACAACCGTAGGCTTTAAAATTCTAACTTAGATATTAATTACATATAAGTGAATCAATCCACCCCATATAAAAAGTTACTAAACTGATTATTTCTACCCTGAAGAACTGTGTTATTCGAATGACAGTTACAAGGACAAATAAGAAAAACTTTCCTCTCCATCAGACATCAGACATGACTGCTGCTTGGCTTCTTCCACTGGCTACCATTACCCTTCAGAGTAAGTCTACATGTCCCTTGAGATCTTTGGCTACCTCTGATCTCATCTCATACCATTTCCCTCCACGTGCACTGTACTCTAACTTCATTGTCAACACTATCAAGTTGGTTCTAGTCCCAGGAACTTGACATTTACCGTTTTCTGTGTCTGGAATGCTTTTCTCTCATATCTTTTGCATGGCTCATTCCTTGTCAATGTTTTAACCTCAGGAGAGGTCTTGCCATCCCCTTTCCCAGCAAATCTTCATAGAACTTCCATTATAAAAAGTCATACTTTTAGGCCAGGTGTGGTGGCTCACACCCGTAATCCCAGCATTTTGGGAGGCTGAGGCGGGTGGATCACCTGAGGTCAGCAGTTCGAGACCAACCTGGCCAACATGGCAAAACCCTGTCTCTACTAAAAACAAAAAATTAGCTGGGCATGGTGGGGAGTGCCTGTGGTCCCAGTTAATCAGGAGGCAGAGGCATGAGAATTGCTTGAACCCAGAAGGCAGAGAGGTTGCAGTGAGCCAAGATCATACCACTGCACTGTAGCCTGGGCAGCAGAGAGAGACTCTGTCTCAAAAAACAAACAAACAAAAATCATACCTTGTTTTTTTTGAAGAGATGGGGTCTCCAAGCTGGAGTGCAGAGGCACAATCATAGCTCAGTGCTGCCTCAAATTCCTGGGCTCAAATTCCTGCCTCGGCCTTCAAGTAGCTGGGACTACAGGTGTGCACCACCATGCCTGGTTAATTTTTAATTTTTTTTGTAGACATAGGGTCTCACCATCATATCTTTTTATGTTTGCTTATTATTTTCCCTTTATGGTCCATGAAGTGGAACATTAGTCTGACATGTTCACTGGGTATCCTCACTGCCTAGAACAGTACCTAGCACATCACAGGAACTTAATACCTGTTTGCTAAATGAATGAATGAAAAAGAGAAATAGGAGAATGTTTTTTTTTCCATTTCTACTTTGGGAAGAGGGTGTTTGGTGGGTAAAGGTACTTGTATTTATTTATTTACTTAAGAGATGGTGTCTCACTCTGTACCCCAGGCTGGAGTGTGGTAGTGCAATCATAGTTCACTACATAGTTCACCTCGAACTCCTGGGCTAAAGCAATCCTTCCACCTCAGCCTCTGAATAGCTGGGATTAATATGTGTGCCACAGCAACTGGCTAAAGATTTGTCTTTAAAGGGAGAGTGCTGAAAGAAGAAATACTAGGCAGAGAAGAACACAAATATGAACATTTAAAGAAACCCACCTCACTTCTTTGTCTGCTACCATGTATAGAAGATGGTCTCAATTGCTTGATATGAACACTTAAATATACTGCCTTTCGGCACTGGCAATCCAAAAGTCTCCTTCAGTATCAATTCTTTAAAACCTGTGTCCTGTTATCATCTAGCCTGATCTCTTTGCATTTTTATTTGCAGAACAGTGTCTGGCACATTCTAGGAAATATTATAAGTATCTGTTACACAAACTTTTGTTTTTTGAGATGTAGTCTTGCTCTGTCACCCAGGCTGGATTGCAATGGCATGATCTCGGCCCACTGCAACTTCAGCCTCCCAGGTTCAAGCGATTCTCGTGCCTCAGCCCCCGAGTAGCTGGGATTACAGGTGTGCACCACAATGCCTGGCTAATTTTTGTAATTTTAGTAGGGTTGGGGTTTCACCATGTTAGCCAGGCTGGTCTCAAACTCCTGACCTCAAGTGATCCGCCCACCTCAGCCTCCCAAAGTGCTGGGGTTACAGGCATGAGCCACCTCACCCAGCCTTGTCAAATAAATGCTTAGAAACACAGCTGTTAATAATGAAGAGTTTAAGAAACTTATCCTTGATAACTTTAGTGGGAAATATCTGTTGCTTTTCTTGTATTTCACACTTTTCTGACCTATAGAAATTGCTGCCTTTGGTGACAAAGTAATTCACTTCACGTTATGAATTGTGACACTATTGCTGTTTCAACAGATTTCCCCTTAGACATGAATACACACCAAAGAACAGTTTTGACCACATGAACATCATACTCTTAAAAGATTTAAACACATTTTACAATGTGATTGTGTGCTATTAAAAAGACCTAGTCCTATATTAGGGAGTCTCTTCATAATTAACCCAAATGAAGTCATCAAACAAGATGAATGATCTTCCAAGAGTTTGAAGGGACAGGGGCACTATATCATGTGAAATCTCATGGGAAAATCTCCCTGCAAACTGAATGCCAGATTCTTTTTTTTTTTTTTTTTTTTTTTTGAAAATGGGGTGGTTTTGTTTTTTTTTTTTTTTTTTTTAAAAGATGGGGGTCTTGCCCAGGCTGGTCTCAAACTCCTGGGCTCAAGTAATCCTCCCACCTCGGCCTCCCAAAGTGCTGAGATTACAAGCATGAGCCACCACACCCGGCCAGATTCTTCTGTTTCTTCTCTTTTGACACATGGTCTCACTCTCTTGTCTAGGCTGGAGTGCAATCACATGATTACAGCTCACTGCAGCTTCAAACTTCCTGGCTCAAGCAATCCTCCTATCTCAGCCTCCCAAGTAGCTGAGACCACAGGTATTCGCCACCATGCCCAATTAATTTTTTTACTTTTTGTAGAGATGGGGGTCTCCCTATCTTGCCATGCTAGTCTCGAACTCCTGGGCTAAAGTGATCTTCCTGTTTAAGCTTCCCGAAGTGCTAGGATTACAGTCATGAGCCACTGTACCCAGCCCAGATTCTTCTCTGGCCTCATCAAATTTGAATTTTTCCCAAGAACATTTTGAGAAAGAAATCAATAAATCACCCTAAGTCACCTATAGCTTTTCAAAAACCACATGGTGAAATTCACTCATAGTCTTTCAAATATGACTGTTCAGTAAGTGCAAAAAAGCATAACTGTACTGCATAAAGTATTCTAAACAATTAATTTTGTTTTGGCTGGGTGCAGGGGCTCACACCTGTAATCCCAGCACTTTGGGAGGCCGAGGTGGGTGGATCACCTGAGGTCAGGAGTTCAAGACCATCCTGGCTAACATAGTGAAACCCTGTCTCTACTAAAAATATAAAAATTAGCTAGGTGTGGTGCTGCGCACCTACAGTCCCAGCTCTCAGGAGGCTGAAGCAAAAGAATTGCTTGAACCTGGGAGGTGGAGGTTGCAATGAGCCCAGATCACGCCACTGCACTCTAGCCTGGGCAACAGAGTGAGACTCCGTCTCAAAAAAAAAAACAAAAACAAATTGTTTTAATTGAATTGGCTAACATTTTTAAAATTATGGTAAAATATATATAAAATTTACCATTTCAAGCATTTTAAGCATACAATTCAATGACATTAAATACATTCATGCTGTTGTGTAACCATCACCATTATCCATTTCCAGAACTTTTTCATCACCCAAACAGAAATTCTGTACCCCATTAATAACTCCTGGCTAGGCACGGTGGTTTACACCTGTAATCCTAGCACTGTGGGAGGCTGAGGTGGGTGGATCATCTGAGGTCGGGGGTCGAGACCAGCCTAGCTAACATGGTGAAACCCCATCTCTACTTAAAATACAAAAAATTAGCCGGGCATGGTGGTGCATGCCTGTAATCCCAGCTATTAGGGAGGCTGAGGCAGGAGAATTGCTTGAACCCAGGAGGCGGAGGAGGCAGTGAGCTGAGATCCTGCCTCTGGAAGACAGAGTGAGACTCTGTCTCAAAAACAAACAAACAAAGAAACAAACAAAGAAACAAAACACTCAAACACTCCCCATCCTCCTTCCATCTAGTCCCTGACAACTTCTATTCTACTTTCTATCCCTATGAATTTGCCTATTATAGGTACCTCATACAATTTGGTATGCAGATACATTTCCAGATACTAAATAACTGGGTATAATTATTAATTATAAAGGGTATTACTGAGTTTAAGGATTGTATTATGAAAACACTATAATTATATTTTAATTTCTTCCAAGGCTCAGTGTAGGATATATAATCAAGAATAAACAATTTTAAAATTTAGCAATTAACCAATACACCCATCCAAAATATATATTTTTTGATGGAGTCTCACTCTGTCACCAGGCTGGAGTGCAGTGGCACTATCTCGGCTCACCGCAACCTCTGACTCCCTAGTTCAAGTGATTCTTCTGCCTCAGCTTCCCAAGTAGCTGGGATTACAGGCACGCGCTACCACGCCCAGCTAATTTTTATATTTTTAGTAGCGACAGGGTTTCACCATTGTTGGCCAGGATGGTCTTGATCTCCTGACCTTGTGATCTTCCCACCTCAGCCTCCCAAAGTTCTGGGAATACAGGTGTGAGCCACCGTGCCTGGTCAAAACATTTTACTCCAATAGTCAAAGCATTTACTGAACAGTCATTGGCTAATACTTAATCCAGAATAAGGAAAATGAAGGTATAAACTTCTTACTGTGCTAAATAGTAGTGTAACAGTTACCTTAACTAGCTGATAAAAATATTTTAATTTGCTTGAGAGATACAGCTTTAGAATGAAGAGGGAGAATTCATTAGGCTACCAAGGCTTTCTGAAAATATCTGTTAAGACCCTTTTTATTTACCAAGACATTTAATTATTTCATTTTATTTCCCAAACAAGTTTATCTACATAGAAAGCAACATATTTACCTACTGACAAGAATACCCCACTGCTCTACACAGAGTTATAGTCCATACTGCAAATTAAGGAACTGACTTAGTGGCAGGGTGCGGTGGCTCACGCCTATAATCCCAGCGCTTTGGGAGGCCTGAGGTGGGTGGATCACTTGAGGTCAGGAGTTCGAGACCAGCCTGACCAACACGGTGAAATCCCATCTCTACTAAAAATACAAAAAAAATTAGCTGGGCATGGTGGTGCATGACTGTAATCCCAGCTACTTGGGAGGCTGAGGCAGAAGAATCACTTGAACCTGGGAGGTGGAGGTTGCAGTGAGTCAACATTGCACCACTGTACTTCAGTCTGAGCAACAAGAGCAAAACTCCATCTCAAAAAAAAAAAAAAAAAAAAAGAATTAGTGATTTATACATTAAACCTCTAACAAAAAGCAGTTTCCTGACCACCTAAACTGAATAATTAGAATATAAGCTACAGTCATTAAGAGCAAATGCCCAACAATACTCAAAATCTTAAACTGACTAGACATTTAAAAAACAAAAGATCTAAAATACATATGCATATGGCTGTATGTATATATGTATATAAATATGCCCACCTGAGGACCACCATATATGAACAGCACAGTTGGATATTTCTTTCCAGGCTGTAGATCATGAGGCTTGTATAGCATCCCATACAATGTAAATCCAGTAGTACTTTCAAAAGAGAAAATTTCTGGAGGGGTATAGTCAGGAAGAGGACCTGTGAATAGGTAACATACCACAGTCTACAAAAGAGTTCTTATGGGAGTGCTACAATCTGGGAACAAGAAAGAAGATATTAAAAGACAGCCCCTCCAACACAAACTGACCACCCCTCTTTTAGATGATAAACTAGAATTTAAGCAAGAGTATATTCATCTTTAAAAACAAAACTAGGCCAGGCACAGTGGCTTACACCTACAATCCTAGCACTTTGGGAGGCTGAGGTGGGTGGATTGCTTGAGCCCAAGAGTTTGTGACCAGCCTGGATGACATGGCGAAACCTGTCTCTACAAAAAAATTAAAAAATTACCCAGGCATGGAGGTGTGCTCCTGCAGTCCCAGCTACTCAGGAGGCTGAGGCAGGAGGATTGATTGAGCCCAGGAGGTTGAGGCTACATTGAGCTGTGACTGTGCCACTGCAGTCCAGCCTGGGCGACAGAACAAGACACTGTCTTGACAACAACAAAAACCCACCAAATAAAAAACAACAACAAAACAAACATATCAAACTATTTCAGAAGCAGACACAGAGTGTTATCAATAATCCTTGGAGCCTAGGAAACGTCTATGTACAGAACTATACAAATACTTTATGCTCAATGTAACTTATTGGTTAAACCATCTATCTGGTTAGAAACAAATAAAGCTGGGTAGGGGGTGAGGGAAATTATTAGTCAATTTAATTTTTCATGGTAGGTGACCAAAAACATTTGCTTCTGATCATTAGAAAATAAGCCTAACCAGAACTCAGAAAAAAGTCATTATCAGTTTGGTTCACCAAGGCTATACAGACATCTCCTAAGTGTCTGTGTACAGCGGATAATTTACAGTCTAGGCAGAGATCATCACCATATTACAAATTCGGATTCTGCTTGTGGATATTAAAACACACTTATATTTTTTCGTTCTGTACTAATTTCTCTCTCTTTTTTTTTTTTTTTTTGAGACAGAGTCTCACTCTGTTGCCCAGGCTGGAGTGCAGGGGTGTGATCTCAGCTCACTGCAACGTCCACCTCCCAGGTTCAAGTGATTCTCCTGCCTCAGCCTCCCAAGTAGCTGGGACTACAGGTGCGCGCTACCACGCCCAGCTAATTTTTATATTTTTAGTAGCGACAGGGTTTCACCATTGTTGGCCAGGATGGTCTTGATCTCCTGACCTTGTGATCTTCCCACCTCAGCCTCCCAAAGTTCTGGGAATACAGGTGTGAGCCACCGTGCCT